ATATGTGAGTGTATATTTTATGATAATCATATCAGCTATCAAGATTGAAAACGCCAACAAATACCGCTCCCGAAAACACTTCACTTTATTATTCATAAAATAAAGAATATGCAAATGGCAATTGTTTACTGAACAGCGCCAAACGAATAGCCACTGAAAATCAAACTAAAAGTCTGTCAGCACATTATGAGCTGGTTGCCGCTAGACAAAACAGGTGCTGATGTTACGTTTACATATGGTATATTCATATACATACATCCCTTGTCGTGCTGAAATTGCTGACGCTGGTCACATCATGTGATGAATTTTATACCTTTCTGCACACGTCCGATGTATAAAGATAACAACTGATGTGTTATGGAATACTGATGTGCAATCTAAAATTATTGGATTTGTTTCGCTCACATATTGAGAGATAAGAGTTAGGACTGACAGCACGGTTTATTGGGAGATGTTTTTATTAAGAGACGAACAGTTGAGAGAAAGCAACATGGTTGCGTAAAAACAATATGGATAAAAACTGAATTTCTGGTTCACTGTAACCAAACTGTTATCATGAAGGCAGAAAATTTGCCAGAAATTTTCACTAAATGAATGAATGAAGCGAAAGAAGCTAGCATGCAGCTCCATGAACAATTCAGAGGCACGCTTATTATTGGCATGATCGGTGCAAATTTAATAAATTCAATATACCTAATTGAACGATATGAATTCGATGAACACGGAACTACCGATCAGTCAATGTACGGTAATCAGTTGATTTGTGTGAATATATTCGTGTGTGTCCTATCACAGTTTCATCGTCATCATCATGTACGTATCGATCCCATCAAAAATCTATTGGAAGAACATCACAAATCACAAATCTGTTTGTAGAAAATGACGTTGCTTGTTGTTGGTCAAGAGGATATATTTGTTGTTATTGGCTCAATTTACAGGAATGTGAGCATTCACGAAAGAGTTTGGAAATAATATGTCGACGGCTTGACGACCTGAATGATGTATGTTTGTTCGTTCGTTCGTTTCTTTGATCTTTGCTTTTCGCTTCACCTTCCTTCCGAGCAAAACAACTCCTCTTTATTGATTTACAATTTCATTCTCTCAATCCCAAAAGAAAGTGAAACATTTGCAAACAAACAACTTTTTTCGTTCTGCTGCGTCTGTCGTATAATTTACTCTATAAATGTTTTTAAATGAAACAAACGAAAAAAAAGGAAGTGCTTAACACGATTCTCCATTAAACACCCTAGGGATGAATAAAAGCTATGAAATATCTTTTGTGAATTATTGCTTCCTTACTCAACTTTACATTCGGCAAAAAAACGATTATACAAAAAACAAGGAATTAAAGCAGGCTTTTTTCAAGGAAGTAAAAAGATATCGAGAATTTCTTGGCCATGAGAAGTCTCATCGAGATCCAACGTTATACAAAACCAGCAATATGGATCGACCAAGTGTTCATAATGAAAACATATGTGGAACTCTGGGCAGTCTAACAAGTCAACTCACGCAGGTCAGTTCGCTATCCTATTTGTAAACGGATGTCGAAATAACGAGTCTTTCTGATGGATTGATTCACTTCAAAAGTGTTCGAATGAAGCCGTTTAGAATGTAAGTCTTGGGTTGTAATGCATTTGAGCAATCAGGTTGAACAGCGCAATGAAGCAGAATATATTTATCTTATGAATCAAAAAGGGGACGAACATATTCGGGAATGAATTGAGAGAGGGAGATGACGCTGGCACGACGACGAGCATTTGCTACTGAGAGGAAATGAGCACGGCGGTGTGGATGAAGGAGCGTTTCTCAAAATGCGGAATTTATTCTCAAAACATGATTTTAGCCTGAAGGATTTTTTGTCAAAACGGTAAAAGCAAATTCTTGGAACAAAAATACTAAGGCAATCCTCTTAACGTAATAAATTATAAATTTTGATGGTATTTTAAAAGTCGAAAAAAGTTCACTTGCTGACCCATCCACTAATTTATGTTTATAGGAGTGGACCGAGAAACTTCGAGGCATTCATAATTCTCTATCGATACCACCACCATCAACACCAACTTCCAGAAATTCGGATCGCTGTTGAATCGTTGTCTTTCAAAGCATAAATTCGTTTTGAGATGATACATTAATTAGTATAACTGTAAATATGTTAAATAACAATACGATTATCATTCTGAATGGTCAAAAATGTGTTTGGATACATACTTAAATGTGTCAGATGTACGAATGTAATAACGACGATGCGCCGACACTTCAATGACTCTTTTTGAGTAAACGAACAAACAAATGAAAGACACTTTTAATAGTTCAACCAGTGATCAAGACGTTCTATCAAAATCTTTGCTATAATACTCTACCTTCATCTCGCTGATGAAAAACTAGCCCTTCGTTGCGTTTCTATCGTCCTTCAAAAATTCATCTGTGCTCTACATGTTGTGTTTGCACCTGTTTGAATTTGATAAGGTACTGTGAAAGTTTTTTTGCATACAACAAAGTCATCGGTTTGAGGACAAAAATGGAACAATAAAACAGACAAGACAGATCGAATTTTGGCGCTAATCAATTCGGTTGATCAAATACAGTTGGGAACGTAACCGATTTTCACAAGAATATTGTGACTCTATCAGCGAATACAAAAGCATAAAAGTGATAACATCAATAATAATAATAGTGGTAGTGATAAAATGTATCGTTGCGATTGCCATGAAATACGTTGTATAAAAATAATATCATATAACGCAACAGTGAAGAGAACAACGCTGAATGAATTGATCAACAGATGGAAAAAAGAATAGTGACGAGATCCACTGATTAACTGACTGATCCAACTGCAAACAGAAGCGAGTGATAGAACGACGATTAAGGTAATGATGAGCGCATTAGTGCTGTGATAAGGATAGAGAGGAACACTCGCAGTGGCAGCAGTCTTACAAATGAAACAATGATTAGAACTGTGTCGAGTGATCGAGGCAACTGAGTATTGATAGAGGCTATCAGTGATATCAGCGGTAGGGTTGCTGAGGACTTCATAGCCGTATTGGCACCAGAAGTTGCCGACGGATAGTCGTTACATAGTTGACCAATACACCAACACAGCTCAACGGTTCGATTCGAGGAACGTTGAGCCAAATGCAATGGTAGAAGGCGATGGGCAGGCATCCGACTACATGCAGTATCTAAAAAGACCATTCAAAAGTTTCATGAGGTGACAGCATAATTATGAGACCCTCTTAATGGACACTAACCATTTCTCGAACATTGTCTCTCATACAATCAATTTTCCTACCATTTATTGCCACACATATCAATTATCATCATTAGCACTGTATTTTTCTCGTGTACTCAAAAACTCAAAAAATAAATGCACATGCTAAAAATTTAAGCCGTGTTCAATCAAAATCTCAATTTTGAAGAAGGTTAATTCAGTTTTATTGCTTGTCATCATAGGCTGTCATATACAGTATGCTAACGCACTAAAAGCTGAGGATGAGCATAAAGAAGGCCATTTCAAAAGCACGGCACACTGAAATAGTTTTCATGCGTATTCAATCATCCGTACACCTGTTCATATATGTGTTCAAAGCCGATTGACTATTGTCATAAAATCAGCTCAACTCATCAAGAAAAGATATGGTTTTCTTTTTTGTGGATGAAATCTTCATACCCGTAATTTAATTCACGGCAAAACTACGAAATTCCTTCTTTTTTTACGCTTACTTCAAGCATCATTTGCTTATCAAATATGATGGATGAATTTAGTGCATTTGTAAATGCCCTCACAAAGACGATTGTTATCAAATCGTCACCTTACATCGCACGACTACCCAAAATATTCATTTGTACTCATAACGGCACTTAATCCATCCTCAGTCATCACCCAGTTCCATGGACAATTAACAAATCTGCTGAATTTTTTGCGAAATTAATATCGAAAAAAAAAAACAATTCAGTACCTAAAACCGGTGCACCGTGCGTTTTTGGTAGTGTTTGGCCATATCTGAACACAGACGAGAAGCAACCACGAATAACATTGTTGCCAACATGATGACCTGAACGAACAAGCAAAAATGAATCGAACAAACGACTACTCGTTATGGATGTCAATACAGTGGAATCTTGGTCTGCGACCACAGATTGGTTCAGCAATTTGGTCATAACCCGGACTGATCGTAAATCGAGGTTCCCCTGTAGTTTTTTTCATAACAACTTTGCTAACTTTATGGCAGCTGTCAATAAAATTCAATATTCATAAAGAGGAAAGGTTGTTATTCTCTGTCGTTCTTATTCACTTTGTTAATCACCTCATATTCTGAAAACATCAACAAAACAATCAATCGATCGAATTTAGTGAAAATCGGAAATTGATAAAGTATGAATGCAAGACGGCAATATGAACAAATTGTCAGTTAGTTGAATAGCTCGATTATTTCTTATTCGTTACGCGATGTCGCTTTCACAACTTGTTCAACTTTAAATCAGAACTTCAGTATGAGCCTTAGACTAAATGAAGTGCTCTTGAATATCCATTGTGGACAACTTCGTCATTGTCATTATTGTTGTCATCTCCTATTTAGATTCTCATTTACGCTCAATTGCTGCATCGGTAAGTGCCTCGAGAAATGAATGAATTCATTCACTCAACACTCTTCAACCGTTTTGTCACTCGTTTTTCGTTTATACCATTTCATGAAAGACACGAACAACGATGCACATCTGCTCAGGGTGCAACTCAACCCAACAATTACTGCATACAAATGCTCAAAATTCTACTCAATTCAACAATCTGAAAACGGAAACATTGATAGTGTAACAGACTGACGAAGTGACGAAGTTTTTGGTACAAAAAATGGAAAATCTCACCAGCCAATATGCGAGGCTCAACTACCGTAACGCACATTGAATGCGGGCATGGAATGATACCGATATGTACATTTGACGGCATACTGTAGCACTGGTCCGTGAAATTTACTGGCCTGTAGTATATCTAAAAAATCAAGAATATTTTCGTTTGTTCACTATAATCTTTGAGTGAACCAGTGTGAACAAATAAGCGTAAATAAAAGCATTACACGTTATGTACAATTTAGGTGCCGCATATGATTGCCACCTTTGGTACCTATAAATTTTATCGCTATAAATTTTCGCATATCAACATTCTCTAATCCAAATTTCCTCAGTTCGTTCATTTGTTCCTTCTTAGTTTGCTTTCTTTTCTCATTTGAATTTTCTTCTTCAAACCTTAACACCAACTGCCCAGTAATATGAGCAGTAGCACTGAACAACATCACTAAATTGTCGGAATTTTCAAGTGTTACGTTCATCAATCAGCACAACACCATCGTTAGCATTATCTTAAAGTAACTTATGCTTAAGTCAGTGACGATCTTCACTGTCAAACGGAATACGTTTAAGTGCCCGTTTATTTTGATAATTTTGTGGCATTCATCACTCATTTTATTGCTTAACAGTTGCCTCTTTCTTCGTTCATCTATTCGTGCATTCATCAGCATACGTACTTTCTACAAAGCAGTAGTCACAAGCTTAAGTATTTGTTTAACACTGTCGTGACAAAAGGCGGTGACTTCATCATGTGTTCAAATGGATTCAAAAATGAGTAATTTCACGCTTTTCGATAATAAGCTTGATATACATCACACATTTTTGATGTTCAAAAAAGCGGGATTCATACATCAAATTCACCGTTCACAATCCGAATTCAAACTTTGAACTTTACTGAAATGATGCACCTATTTCAAGAACTGTTACGTTACGAACAAACGAATTGATTTTCTTAATAGGTCGTCTGAAACAAGTTGGCTGCTGCTGTTGCTGCTGCTCTTGCTCTGAATGTTGCAGAATGATGATGTTAATGATGCTAAGACTAGAGCAAATTCGTGCAAACGCATAAAAACAATAAGTTTAAAAGTGTCGAATTACATCGATAGCCATTGACAAGATGTTGCTATTGCAATTTTGCTCATCAAAATCACATTCAAAATGCCAAATAAAATCCTCTGTTATGATTATGATCTTTAACAATCATAGTACTATCAGTGTTTCCATTATTAGTGTTTGAAATGGTGGTTCAGCATACCCGCGCAGTGGGCATCAAATTCATTGATAACACTCATAATCCATCATTCCAATATCAATCATTATTATCGTTAACATAATATGTCAGCAGCCGTATTGATAAAAAAATTCATGATATTACAAACTTGAGTTAGGTCAGTAGCAATGAAAACCGATTTTCCGTGGACATCAACGGAACCCAAACGACGCTCAAAATATATCTTGCCAGCATCCATTTAAAAAATCTTCCCGTTTTCAACTCTATTTCAAATAATAATGTCACCATTATTCTCGTTTAAAATGTTCACGTTCTCTCTTGAAACTTCACAGTTTCCCTCTTTTCAACGCGTTCACACCTGGATTCAGTTGAATCAGTAAGAATATGAAGTATTGAATGAAAACATGTTTAAGTTAAACTGCTCCTCATAGATCACAGTTGTGACGGGATTGAGAACAATAACATGATAATTAGAATGAACTTGTTGCAATACCTGTTCAAGAAATGACCAATGTTTCTGGAATGCTTTCGACATACAACTGTAGCAGTACTTCTGTGAAGAGCTGCAATTAGGCTTTATTAGTCCATCAATTAAACACTCACTCCAACATCACTACATCACTTCAACGATTCGTTTTTGAATCGTTTCAAATAACTGTTCGTTCCGTGCACCAATATTGCATCAAACTGAATTTCAAAAATTTTAAGCAGTCAAAATAAAGTTCTTTCACATTCAATAAAAATCCCTCTCATTTCCGCATATGAGATGCAACTATAAAAATTGCTCATTTTTTGTTTCTCATTAAAAAAAATTGCAGCTAATGGGTGAAAAATGAATGCAATCAATGCATTGGATGAGAAGTTTTCGTTTGACCGAGATTATAGTGAAATAATGAGACCACAAGCAAAACGCAAGCAAACAAACAAATCAGTTGACCTAAAGTCAAAGTAATCACTGGTTGCTGCAACTGAGGTGATTACAAATGAAATCGAGGCTTGTAAAAACAGCCAATCGCACAATCCTGGAAAAATAATTGAACTGTTAATCAATGTTTAAAAAATCATCAAATTCCGTTTTTCTCTTTTTCATCTTCTCATCAGATTTTGTAAAAGTGAAATTTTATGCGAATAATAGAATTACAAATTTCATTTTTATTAAATTATTATTCATTTGCAAATGGGCATGCTAATATATTATGCGCACAAACGTACACATTTGCACTGTGTAACAAATTTTAATTTGTTCTCTTATTGACTTCACTTTTTGTCGATTCGACATCAGTATTTTTAGTGGTTCCGAACACTTCACTCATTTTTCCGGTATCATCGATCATCATTCACTATGTCCATGAGAATTTATTTTATGCCACTATTGTGACGTTTCCGAATGATGTTTTGGAAAGTTCCTGCTATGCGCCAAGTCATAAGTAAACGCTCGCGAAAGTTCGTACGTGATTAAAACTTGCAGAGTGTTCAACTGATGTTCACCAATTTTTGAGTGGAACTAGATGAAGCAAAAAAAATTCTGCAATTATGTTTTGGAGCTCTTAAGATGAGAGAAAGTAAGTAACACACAAGATTTGAGAAGATGTCAAATTCCAAGAATCGAAATCGGCAAGACAGTTTAGGTATAAATCAGTCTTTTATTGAACAATAATGCGAACAATTTGAGACTGACTTTCCATCAAACCTGATTTTGTGAAAATTTGATTTCTAAGAAATATAACCAGGAATCTGCAATAAATCTGGACAAAAAGCAAGTCCAGTTGTGAACTTTGACCCTAGGCACGCTCATCATAATCTATTGAATAATGTAAACAGCTATCATTATCTCATTATATTCGCCTACTTTTATTTCACTTGTAACGCACCGGTGTGACATGATGTTTCCGATTCAGATGTTCATGTTCAATTTTGAGAGCTTGATTTTTTACATGCGGCTATTTTCATCACCCGGCGCGGGAACACGCCAACCAGAAATGTCGGGTAACTGTGGTCTATTAGTCTCGCACAGTGTAACAAAAAGCATATCATATTCTGACTGAAATCCAGATAAAAACAGAAACAAATTGGAAATCAAGAAACGAAACGAACTGAACATCGTTTGAAGAGAAACAAATGGAATTTAATGCAAATAACGAATTTATCAGTAAGAAGTAAGTTGTGTTTATTAGTTTGTCCTCCTCCTCCTTTTGTCGCAGCAGCAGCCGTATCTGTTGTGATCTCGCCGTTATTGCTATTTTTGCTCTAGCACAATTATTTATCGGATGATGAATATTCTTTATCCATCAGCACCATCTAAGCAACCCTCATTCTAGAGAAGAAGAAGGCAACTCAAATTAGGCTTATGCTTAAGCTTACTAATGCAACGATAACGAGAAATTCCCTGAATACTCAAAACCATGATGACAAGGACGTCTCCAAAACATGGATTGTTTGCTGAGACGAAGAGTAGACGAGTAAAAGTGATGAATGCGGACGGAACGAAATTTATTTGATTGATGATGTATCAAATTCGATTACGCTTAATTTAGTGAGCATTCATTCATTCAGTGCGCAGTTTACATGTATCCAACGAACCAGCAGCATCTTCATTCATCCACTACTCGCAATACAACTTAATTTTGAGCCACACCACCGACGATTACCCTCTTAAGAAAATGTTTGAACGTTGTTTGTAACATAAGTAGTCGGTTAAAATCAAGCAAAACAAAGCTGCATGATACAGATAGCTTTGCTCACTTGGTATCTCTGAGGAAATTCGGAAACATTTCTTCTCTCTACTTCGTTTTGGAACTGCAGCGATCTCAATCAAACAATCAATCCATAGTCATATATGTAAATAATGACCAATTCATCTTTAGATTCGGAAATAAACTTAAATTAATCTTGAACAGGTTGTTTTTTCGAATTTCGGACCAGTAAATTGCGTCAGCACGAGATTCAACTAACAATGAACGATTCAATAAGACGACAATGCAATTAACACAATCTTCAGTCAATCAGCGAACGCAGTACGAAAATGTCACTCGATCGGACTTAATTTATAGAGTTAAGGGCGGCAAGATAAACGATTTAACGATGGGAATAATAACAACTTGATGAGTTTTTTTTTGAAGAGTGACTCTTAAAAAAGTACGAAACAGCTGAAAATTTGCATTGAGATACATGAATATAGCATTAAATTGAAATTCGAAGATGAAAAAATGAATTAGAAGTAACCTCGAAGCATTCAAAGCAATCGTATAAGGCGCAATCTTACTGTCACCGATGCGCCGATGACTGGCCAAAACATCGATGTGCTTTTCTCTGCTTCGGTCCAAAGCTACTGATCTAGCTTCGTTTAGCAACAATTGATAACTTCTTTTACTTGATTAGAATTTTGTTTTCTGCTGGTTTGATGAATAATGAAGCAACGTTGAATATGAATAATTTTTCGATCAATATGAATGAGGTAGAAACAACAGTAGCAAACAACAGTGTGTGCAACAAACGGTAATCTGACTAACTGAGTAAAGAAATGATTAAATGCATATCAATGGAATATTAGTGATCTATAGGCGAATGTATTAGATCAAGTTTGTGGAATATAGCTGTCACGGCAAATGAAATGTTGCTGAAAGGAGTGAATGAGGCCGAAATGAATGATCATTGATGAATAGAAGAGCTGAATTGGAGTCTGATTATTCGGAGTATGATGATTCACATGGAAATGGTAAGAAATTGATGACGAAATCAATGACAGACAACAATTACGCAAGATGGCGATGACCAAGATTTAAATAGCAACGACACCTACTGCTTGGAAATTGAATTAAGAAGATTCCACCCGAAAAGGTAACTTGTTCATCACAGTAAATAAATTGTTTATCAATAGACCAGTAAATCAGACCAAGCACAATTGTCCTCAACTTTTCTTGACCAGGCTAACTAAAACGCGTCTTCAGCCATCTACCACCTTTTTCCTAACCAATTCGTCCTTTCTGTCGGTAAAGCATCATTCCATCTCTCCGCCCTTGAGGCAACAATCAATTCAGATGTTACAAGAGGCGGAGTTGTCGTTCTCATTACGCAATTTTCATTCCCTTCGAATTACTATGATAAGTTGAGAAGAACTGTCTGTGCAGACATGATGGCAGTGGGCATGGATAAGCGTATCATTACGTTATGAACTGACTGCAACAGAGTAGCCATAATCACTGACATGTTGTAAAATGCCTCAAAAATTATCTGACAGGAACTAAAATCATCATCATTACCATCAATCATCATTATCTTCGATGAACAACAATCGTCACATCTTCTTAGGAATGTTCTATCTCACTCATTCATTCGACCCTAAAAATTTTCTGAGACCGATCACCTCCCCTTTTACCTATCGATACTGTGTCTTATTTTCGTTAGTTGCAGAGCTGTAGCAACATCAGTCATTGCATCAGGAGTTATCAATGAGACACTGACCTTCCAAGAGCGCATCATCTGTAAAGAGCATTTTTTGATTGGTGGTATTGTAGCTTGCTGATTGAATACAATGACAGCACCTCTTGTGATTCCAGTATGAATTAACAGAATCGAGTAAATACTTTATCGTAACTGAGAGCAATGAAAATTTGAGAAACGAATCTGAGCTTCAGGAATTTCATCTGACATTACACAAGACAAGGAAAACTTAATTACTGCGAACGTTAGCGCCGACTTCTTCACTAGTTGGTGATAGACTTCTATAAATTGCTTTTGAACTAACGAGTCTACTGGAAAAGCCGCTGTCTATCTATTCCAACAATTAGTGCTACATTTTTTGTCATCGTCATCCAATTGTATGTGAGAAGAAGAATAAGCTACTTCAGCACCGACGGTAAGATTTTTTTGATGACTGCGAACATTTCATCTCATATACTCACGTGGAATTTTCAAATGCACTTGGGTAAGAATCACAATCTTTAAAATATGGTGATGAACAACACCAGAGCACAAAATTTGGTTGAAACAGTTAAAATAAAAGGTATTGTGAACACTCCAACGACTTAATTTGCAAATACTCCTGTTGTTTCCACCGGCTAATTCCTTCGACTGCGAGCAATTTCTAATTCATTTGTTCTCAAATACTTTTTCCGGTAAATTCCTTCTTCTTGGTACACTGTGAGCAAGCCCAAAGCTATCATGGATGTTCTCAGCATTCCCGCCATTCTTCAAATTAGTCGTGATCCAATCGACGGCGGATTGCCACTCAGACTACCCAAAAACTTAATACAAGAAAAAAAAACGACTAATCTACTTGACGTTGCAAATGCTCTGCATCACCTGCAAGACTTCGAAGGTAAGCCTTGCTGAGCAACGACAGAATTTTGGCGAACAATTCAAACCATTTACTGAATTCAGAAATCAAGCTAATATGAGTAGAACTGTATTCAGAGAACCTTACAAGCAAAACTGAAGTTCCTGAAAGATGATTCATTCTGGACAAAACAAAGTATCATTTTCGGTTTCATATGCCTACATTATGCATTCATGACCACTGTTGCTGGTGTTTCAAGATTCATAGTAAAGAACCAACCAATCATAAAAGATATTGTGCAGAACACATGTGAATCAATTTATTAGCAAGATTAGCGATTAATTTTTGCATTTCAATGCGTTATGATTTCTTTTCGGATAGCCACAGAAACAATCCAGTCGAACTACTCAAGCTGGAACGGAAGAATGCCACTGAACGAATGGTTGCGTGGATGTTCACAGCTGTTCTCGTTCCAAAGATTTTTCTAAGCCTAAGCCGCATAACCAATACGCTTCAAATGAACTTCAGCTGAGATAGACATTGGCTGCAGTTAATGTGAAACGCTCGAGCCGGGGGTGGATAGTAGATGTTGTGTAAATAAATGAACGTATGGAATTGTTACGCCTTAACCTAGTAGTAGTGTTAGTTGGTGCGTCAGAGAAAAATAACAAATTTTCATTCATTGATGACGCTTCACACCACTGGAACTTTTCTCTTCAGTCTCTTCACTTGAATTGAATGAGGTAGCAGCAGCAGCAATAGCAAAAGTCTCCGAACAATTAGTATCAGAGTTATTTTAGTTTTTAAGACGCACCTGAGGCAACAACAAAAACAACATGCGACTGAAGCAATAACAACGCAACAGCATCATCTTGCGATAAAAATCAATGCAGTAACCACTAGTCTCTTCTCGATGCTACAAAATCTTGTGATGATTATATTGTTGATTATGATTCAATCGCTGCTCTAACTGTTGAACTATGATTGATCTAAACTCACTGTTCGTATGATCATGTTTCGTCCAGTTCCATCGTTTACTCTCTTATCATTGAGCCGTGATGTTCTCACGAAGTAACTCGTTAATGAGCAAGCGAAAGGTATTGTTATGTTGTTGAAGTTGAGGAAACGTTGAAATGAAACTGAAACGATTCATTATTAGTTGAATGTGATGGAATGAACTAGTAGGTAGTGATAGGCTGTTGTTACTAAGGAGAATGCCTGGTGTTGATGAATCCTAATTCTACTGAAACGTATAGGTAAACAATAATTCAACTCCCTTTCCTGCTTCTCTGAACGTAAACCTGATCTTATTCCAAACGAATGAAGCTAAGCCAAACGGATGCATCCAAGTCTAGTACTTATCTGCATTTTGTTAATCAACGAATTCGAGTCGTACACCATACCGCTATGTTGTCGTGGTAGTAGTAGCAGCAAGAGCAGCAGCAGCTAGAGTTTGAGCCTCAACTGAATCAAAGTCCAATTGCTTCCCTCGTTGCGGCTAACAATCCATGTTCTCTTACTGGTTGATGCATTCAGATTCTTTTATATATTGGTGATTCAAAGCCAAAACAAACCACTTCCTGCAATGATGAGCCTTTTTTAGTTGCACTATTCTTTCCTTGTTCTTCATTGTTTTCTCCATTCATGTATGCATCAAACGAATTAAAATTTTATTAACTTAATTTGTCCCAATTATTATTATCATTATTATTATTATTATTATTATTATTATTATTATTATTATTATTATTATTATTAT